GGCTCGGGCGGCCCCGGGGCGGCGGCGATCGCGCGGCTCCGCAGCAGCTCCAGGAGGCGACGCAGGTCCCGGCCGAGCTGCGAGACCTCCCGGTTGAGGCGGCTGATCTGCAACGGGATGGAGAGCGCTGAGCGGCGCCCGGACCGGACCGGACCGCCTCGCCGCCTTCCCCGCGCACCTCCTGGCCGAGCCGCCCGAGGCTCCGCTCCAGCTCCTCGGCGACCGGGCCCGGGGCGGAGCCCCCGGCGCTGCCGGGCGCGGGGCAGCCCCCGGACGGCACCGGGGGGGCCTCACTGCAGCGCGAGCTCGGCGGCTCCGCCGCGCCCCCGCTGTCCTCGGTGCCGTCCACGATCCTGCACGGGGCCCAGGGCGCAGCGTGGGGAAGGGTCCCGCAGTGCCGCGCTCCCTCCGCGCGTGCGGGGAGCGGGCAGCACTGGGGGGCACCGGGAAGCTCCGGGCACGCGGCCAGGCGGCCCCTCGGGCCCGCGGGGGGCCCGGCCTCACCTGGGGCTGAGGTCCGGGGGGCCGTCGCTGTGCAGCGCGGGGATGAGCAGCCTGGGGGGCCTCCTGCCGCCCCCAGCCTCCCCGGCCCCGGGCGGTGCATCCCGCGGGCCCCGCGGCGAGGGGCTGCGGCCCCGCGGGCAGTGCGCGGGCGAGCGGCAGTTGCGGCGCAGGGCTGAGAACTGGCACAGCTCGTCGCCCAGCAGGCTGCTGAGGGAGCCGCGGCGGCCCGGGCTGCTCAGGCTGGGCAGCAGGCGCTTGCGGGGGGCGCTTGCGGGGGGCGACAGCTGGAAAACTTCATCGGGCTCCTCGCCGTCCTCCAGGATGGAGGGAAGGGGCTTCTCCGGGGCGGCGCCGCTGTCGGGACGCGGCTGCAGGGGGGCAACAGGGGGTCAGGGCCGGGGTGTCCTCATGTGGGCACCATGTCTCCCAACCGCCCCGTGCCGGGCACTGACCTGAGCTGCTGGCACCAACCGTGGGGACCTCGTGAAGCGGAGGAGCCCCTGGGAAGAGAGCGGGGATGCCTGTGAGGTGCCAGCGCAATGACCACAGATGAGGCTCTTTGGGACCTTGCGGCCCCCTCGAGGAAGGAGCCCTCAGGTCCTGGATGTTCCCTGCTCCTCCAGGCAGCGGCAGCACATGGAGCTGCTCGTGCAGCGCCGCATCCCTGTGATGTCCCAGCCGGGCAGGACCCCAACACCTCCCACCGAGCCCTGCTGCGGGTGCGGGGAGGAAGCGCTGGACACGCACCCACCTCCATCTCACTGCCCTCCCGCAGGTTGAAGGTGAGGTCCTGGTGGATGTCGGCCGTGAACTTGCTGGCGTACTCAGGGTAGAGCTGCAGCACCTCGCAGAGCCCCCGCAGCCCGATGTACTGCAGGTCGCAGTAGGTCAGTGCCTTCACGTCCGCGCTCGTCTTGATCACCGGCTCCTGGCTCGCCAGGTCGGCCCCGATCAGGTCCCCTTTGCCTGCAGGAGGGAGCACTCACAGTGGGCGCCGAGTCACGGCCACCGCGGCCCGCGCGCCCCGGGGCCCCGCTCACCCAGGATGGCCAGCACCACGTTGTCCCGCAGCACCTCCAGCGAGCCGGAGCACACAAAGTAGTCGGCCTGCAGCGCGTCGCCCTGGCGCAGCAGGTACTCGCCTGGCGCGCAGAACGACGTCTTGATGTGCAGCGAGAGCGAGCGCAGGCAGCCCCGGCTCGCCGTCTCGAAGACGGGCAGCTGCAGGATGTCCTTGTTGAGGTGCATGGCCACGTCCGCACGCAGCTCGTCGGGGAAGTCGTGCAGCAGCTGGGAAAGAGGCAGCGGGGCTGGCAGCGAGTGGACCCCCGCACAGGACCTGCTGCTCCTGGCACTGCCAGCCCCATGGCCCGGTGCCACGCGCACCAAGGGCCACCATGCATATCCCTGAGCCCACAGGGATTGCACCTACCTCCCTGCTTGCAGCTCTGCTCCCACAGCAGCAGTGCATGTGCATGCACCTTTTTACCCGCATGCTCACATAGCTGCACGCTTGAAACTGCAGTGCTCCATCACCCAGGTTCTGCGATGGACCTTGCCCTCCTACCCACCTCGTTGGCGTCAATGCCGTTGTTCACGGACCAGGTGGTCTGGAAGTACTCGAGCATCCGCTGCTTGAGCTGCTGTGGGAGGCGGTGGACGCGGATGAAATCCTTGAGGTCCTTCATGCGCGTGTGGTAGAGCGAGCGGCGCGAGTACATGCGCTGGATGATGGCCGTGACGTTGCCAAAGACCACGGCGTGCATGAGCGCTGGGGGGGCCGGGAGGGCGGCGTCAGGCCGAGCCCCCGGCCCCGCGCCCGCCGCCCCCCGCCGCCGCCTCACCCCCGATGAGCATGGTGCAGATGGAGAAGATCTTCTCGGCGTCCGTGTTGGCGCACACGTTGCCGAAGCCCACGCTGGTGAGGCTGCTGAGGGTGAAGTAGAGGGAGGCGATGTAGGCGCTGCGGATGGAGGGGCCCCCCGCCGAGCCGTTGATGTAGGGAGCCTCCAGCCTCTTGCCCAGCTCGTGCAGCCAGCCTGCCAAGCAGAGCGGGGCTGAGCGGCGGGCGCCCCGCGCCGCCCGGCGCCCCGCGCGCCCCCGCGCCGCTCACCGATCTCCCAGGTGCGCCGGTCGCCGCTCTGCACCTCGGCGCGGCCGATGACGTACCAGACGCAGGCCATCCAGTGCGCGAGCAGCGCGAACATGGACATGAGCAGTGTGAGCACCATGGCGCTGTACTGCGAGTAGCGGTCCAGCTTCTGCAGCAGCCGCAGCAGCCGCAGCAGCCGCACCGTCTTCAGCAGGTGGACCAGCGAGGTCTGCGGAGCGGCAGGAGCGTGAGGCCACGCAGGGACCGATGCCGCTGCCAGGACGGGATGGGGTGGGACACAGCCTGTCCGGGCAGCCGGGCCCTGCTGTGCCTGATCCACAGCAGTGCCAGCATCACCAGGGCCCCAAATTGCTGCAGAGTTGGGAGGGAGGTGGCCAGCAGCCACATGGGGCCCTGGGTTTGCTGGAGCTAAGCTGGTCCCAGCAACTCGCAAGGGGAAACCTCCACAAGAGGCTGGTGCCCCAGCCAAGATCACAGGTGTCACGAGCTGGAGGTGACAGGAGCTCGAGCCACCGTGTCTCAACCTGGTCTGGACACACAGCGATGCCAAGCTGGTGTCATCGCAGCCAGGGACTCCGCTGCTCCCAAATCCCCTCTCTCCCACCGCTCGCTCCTGGCTCCACATGGGCAGTGGCCCCGGCTCCAGCGCTTGTTTTCCTGGCCGGCAGCACAGCTGGGGCACCACCGGAGCTGCCCTGGCTCAGGGGGCAGGTCCAGCCCCCGAGCGCCTTCATCCTCCCTGCGCTGCGGCGGTGCCACCAACCAGTGTAATTACAGCTGCTCTCCCCGCTCCTTCCCGCCTGCTCCAATTAGCAGAGGATGGAAACGGGGCTGCAGAGCTCCCGTGGCTCCTGCTGCTCACCCGGGGCCCCGTGAGGCTGCCAGAGGCAGCGGCCGGAGCCACCTGCTCCAGATGTGTTTGCATGCATGTGTGCTTGCATGCACACAAGTGTATGTGCATGTGCACGCATGTGCATGCATGTGTCGTGTGTGCCTCTGCCTGCATGCACACAACCGTGCATGCATGTGTGTGCCTCTGTATGTGTGTGCCTCTGCCTGCATGCACACAACTGTGCATGCATGCCTGTGCCTGCGTGCAAACAAGTATGCATGCATGTGTGTGCATGTGTCCGCATGCACGCGTGTGCATGCGTATGTGTGGGCTGGGGAATGCCTGGCTCGGAACTCGCTCCCTCCTGGGACGCCGCTGCAGCGCGCAGGGGCACACGGGGTTTGCAGCTGCCCGTGGATGAGCCCCTCTCGGATCAGCCCTTGCAGAGCGCACGGCAGCGGCCGCCCCATGGCACTCACCACCGTGACGTTGAAGACATAGAGCAGGTCGAAGGGCAGCGCGGCGATGAGGTCCACGAAGAACCACGTGGCCACGTAGTGCAGGCAGATGCAGCGGGGCTCGTACACTACCTGGCCCGACTGGCTCACGTAGGTGGTGCGGAAGTTCAGCACGATATCTGTGCGGGGAGCACACCGGCCTCAGCACCGCCGCCCCGTCCTGCTCAACACCCGCACCGAGCTGTGCCCGGCCATGCTGGCACCGACAGCGCCGCTCCCTGCTCCTCCTTCCCTGCTCTTCCTCAGGAGGAAGAGCTTCCCTACCCACGATGAAGAGCATCTCGACGGCGATGTCGCTGACGATGGTGCTGCGGGCGGCCGAGGCACTCTCCTCCGTGCCCGTGAAGCAGACGTTGTAGGGCACGGTGACGGCCACGTAGAAGGTGGCCAGCAGGATCAGCCAGTCCCAGAGCGCCTTGAAGACGCTGTAGTGGAGTAGGATGAAGTGGGACTTCTGCACCGAGGCCACTTTGTACTCAGGGATGGATGGCTTGTTCTCAAAGACGTTCTGCAGGAGAGGGCAGGGTTGGCACCAGATGTCAGACACCAAGGAACACACGGATCTGTCTCCACACGGGACCCCACTGGCCCACAGCTCCCTCTGGATTCATGTCTCCCAGGGGCAAACATGGGCTGCGTGGAGACTGCCTAGAGATGGGCACAAAACACCTGCTTTTGCAGACTAACTAAGGCTCTGCTGATGCTCTTAACAGCCTCTTAACGGAGGGTCCCGGACACAGACCCCTGTCCCCAGGCGATTCGGGCTCCCGCCGGGCTCCTCACCCGGTTGAGCTTCATGTCGCTGCGGTCCTTGCGCGCGAAGCGGCTGCCGAGGCGGTGCAGGACGGAGCGGCCCTGCCGGCGGGCTGCGCGCAGGGACGCGCTCCCGGCCCGCCGCCCGCGCTGCCTCTCTGCAGGACGAGTCGGGCACCGTGAGCGGCGGCGCCGGGACGCGCTGCCCGCGCGCCCACCCGGCCCCGCCGCCCTCACCCTCCTTCCTGTCGCCCGGGTGGCTCTTGGCCCGGCTCTCCGTGATGTCCTTGAAGGAGAAGAGGAAGAGCACGACCTCCCCCTTCTCGTTCTTGATGGGCACGATGTCCAGCAGGCACCAGAAGGCCGCTCCTGAGGGGCAGAACAAACTGGCAACGCGAGCTGGGCAGGACGGGGACGGGGTGAGTGCCGCGCATGCCACTCACCCCCCTTCTTGTAGAAGCAGACCTCGGCCTGGCACTCCTGCTTGCCCTCCAGCACCTTCTCGATGCGCTGCAGGGTGGGCTCGCTGGTCTCGGCGCCGCAGAGGAAGCGGCAGCTGCAGTTCTTCTGCATGACCTCGGTGCGCGCGAAGCCCGTGAGCTCGCAGAAGCCGTCGGAGCAGTAGACGATGGGGAAGCCGCGGCGGAGCTGCGCGTTGGCCAGCAGGAAGTTGCTGTCTGGAGGCAGACACGGGGCTGCCACCGCGGGCAGGGGCTGCGGGGACACGGGGTGCCCGTCCTTCTCCCACGGCACCCGCCTTCCCCCCAAGGAGGAGCGCAGGCATCCAATCCCCGCATCCCTGGGGTCCCTCCTGCCCTGGCATCCTCGCAGTGAGGTGGCTCCAAGGGCGCTGGAGCCCTCGCCACTCCTGGGCTCCTGTCCAGCCCCAGAGCAGCTGCTTTGGCATCAATTGCCACCAAGCACCAGCAAGGACAGATGGCCTCGCACGGGGACGAGGCCAAGGAGCTGGCGTGTGTGGACAGCGGGACCAGAAACACGGGACCGAGCAGCAGAGGATGGGCACCAGGCAGGGGACACACAGGGGACACGGTGGGGGTGCCAAACGGATGCACAGAGGCTGCCCAGGGGATGCCTGGGGATGCCAAGAGGATGCCGAGGGGATGCCATGCCGAGGGGATGCCGAGGGAGAGGCCAAGGGGATGCCGGCCACAGGCGGGGGGGCTACACCAGGGCCACCGCCACCAGCTCAGCTCAGGATTAGCTCTGGGAAGCAAAAATAGCCCAAGGCTGTGACTAAGGCCAGATTTTGGCTCTGGGGAGCCAGGATTACCGTGCTGGCCAGGGGGTGATATTAAAAAGGGGGAAACAAGTGCAAAGGAGTCTTTCCAGCTGTCTTGAGGAGCAGCTCTGCTGTGCGAAGGGGGCTGCGGCACCGGCGGCTGCTCATGGTGCAGGAACCTGCCCAGATGGACGAGCGGGGCCGAGAGGCAGCTGCTGCGCAGCAGGGCCAGGGTTAACCCGCACCATGGATCGCTGCAGCTAAAGCCCCTCTCCGTGGCGGGTAAAGCCGATAAGAACCACAGCGAACCAGCAAAGCCAAACACTATTTAAAAGTGCCCAGGAGGCTGCTCGGCACAGTTGAAGGCAGGATGCTCTCAGTCACCCTCATTGCCAGGCTCCCTGGGCAGATTCCCAGGGCTCCTTTCCTACTTTTCCTGGGCAGCTCCTCTGCAGCTCCACTGCATCCTAAAGCCCCAGTCCAGGGCCACAGGGCCAGCCAAGGGGGACAAGGTCCCTGTCACCCACGGTGTGGAGCCGAGGGGAGCCAGGAGCACCCGGTCCCTCTGGGAGCAGCTCATCCCTGTGCTGGTGCAGGTGGCAGAGATGCGTTGCCTTGTGCACAGCAAACCCCAAGGGCAGCACCCGCTGCCAGCTTCTGCAGCCAAGCATGCCCAGGGCAGCAGGATGGGCCGGGGAGCCCCTGCTCCGGGCAGCGCTGGTTTGGCCGCTGGCACGTGGCACCGCTGCATAATCCCTTCCCCAACGTGCCAGCGCCTTAATCCGCACTGGCCCTGGCACATAGAGCAGGGAGGAGACGGCTTCCCAGGGACACTCTGGCACCTCCAGCTGTGGAAAGCGGCTGCAAAACAGTCAGCAAGGACCAGAGCCCTGCTCCATCGCGGCCCAACGCACAGCCCTGCTCGCAGTGCAGTCCAAACGCACGGCTCAAACACACGGCCCTCGGTGTTCGCCTTTCCCTAGGACACATCCCAGAGCAGCGAGGCACTTCCCTACCCAGGCCCTAGAGGAGGGCAGAGCCCCCTCGGCGCCGGGGCAGAAGTGCCCATATCCGTGCAAGCGGAGGGCTGCCGGTGCAGACGGAAGCCAGTGTGACGGTCCCCGTGTCACCACTGTGTCACCAGCTGCTCTTGCCCTGTGGTGCTGGGGTTTGAGCCGCACTAGGGAGGACCCGAGCCCCTTCCCGCCCCACAGCACTTCGGGGGGCACCGCGAGCCCCGGCGCCCCGCGGTACCTGCCAGGGCGCTGCGCCCCCTCCCCGACCCTCCCGGACCCCCGGCGGCCCCCGCCGCTGCGCCGGGGCCTCCCGTCCGACCGGGAACTGTCCGTGGTGCTGAGCGGCCCCGACGGCGCCGAGCCCGGGCCCGGGAGCAGCGTCCGAGCCACCAGGCACCCAGGGCCGGTCAGGGGTCCCCGCGGTACCGAGCCCACCCGGGGGCGCGGATGTCCCCAGGTTACCCACTCCATTCGGGATGCACGGAGGGGGAGCGCGGGGTGCCGAGCCCGGGCGGGTCTCAAGGGTGTCCCCAATTCTTGAGCCCTCCCGGTGCTGGCGAGTCCCGCGGCAGAGGCGACGGGACGGAGAGGACGGAGCCGCGTCCGGTCCCGCCTGCGGTCCCGGGCATCCCCCCGCCGCTCGTGGGGCGCAGACCTACGTGTGCCGTCGAAGCGGGTGGCGATGGTGTCCAGGAAGGTGTTCTGCGGGGCCAGCAGGCCCTTCATCACCGGCATGGTCCCGCCGCGCCCCGCCGGGGCTGCCGCCGCCGCCCCCGGCCCCAGCGGCAGGTGCCTCGCCGGCACCGCGGGCTAATCCCGGCCCGGCGCGCCCGGGGCTGCGCTCCGCCCCCGGCCCGCCCCGGCCCTGCGCGCCGCCGCACCGGGAGGGGCCTCGGCACCGGCACCCGCCCCGGAGCCACCGCCCACCGCCTCGGTACCTGCAGGGGCTTCGGCACCGGCACCCGCCGCGGCGCCCGGAGCCGCCGGCTCCGAGACCTGCCCCTCCAGCGGGAGGGGCTTCGGCACCGGGACCTGCCCCGGAGCCGCCCGTCCCGGGAACCGCCCGTCCCGGCGAGGCGGGACCGGCCCTTGGGGAGCCAAGTGGGCTCCATGGTGGCTCGGGAAGACTCCGTGCCCGCAAGGTTCCCTCCCTTGTCCCTAAGGCCAGAGGGACGGGAGCCGGGGCCGTGCAGAGCATCTGCATTCCAGCACCGTGGGCTGCAGGGGGGCAGAGACATTAGCCCCCTCCCCAGAGATGAGGCTGTGCTGGTACCATCAGGCTATCATTTATTGTAAAAGGCCAGCGGTGGCCGCACACCCTGAGCGGGCTCAGCCGGGGCCACCACGAGGTATTTAAAAGTGCTATTTACATCAGGCGCAGGGTGAATCCCGCCGCCGGGACCCCCTCTCCACGCCACTCCCCCCCAGCCATCAGTAAAAGCTCGTCACGGTCCCCTGCATCCCGCTTTGCCCCCGGCACTGCCCAGGGCCTGGGACGGAGCGGCTCGGGGCCGGTGTCGGAGGTGCATCCGTGCCCGGGGTGCAACCCGCTGCGGCGCGGCAGCCGGCCCGCTCCCCGCGCTTGCCCATGGTGAGGATGCCGGCGGCGTGGTTGCCGGAGCCGTGCAGCAGGCGGTAGAGCCGGCTCTGGAATGCCGGCGGGATGCTCTTCCTCTTGCCCAGCGTGAGGATGCCGGCGGCGTGGTTGCCCATGCCGTGCAGCAGGTCGTAGATGCGGCAGGAGCAGGTCTTCTGCCGGCAGCACTCGGGCACGTTCTGCCGGGCGGCAGCCAGGGAGCAGAGCAGCAGCAGGAGGCAAAACGCTCCGCGGAGCTGCCGGAGCAACGGCTGCTGTTAGCAGCATTAACCGGGCTGCTCTGCCAGGATGTCCCAGCTCTCACGGGGACAGAGCCACTGCCACATGGGGACAGGGCTCTGCCCCACAGGGGCGGCAGCTCAGGGTGCAGCTCAGGGCAGCTCAATCCTGCTCCTCAATCCCCATCCAGCCCTGCAGTCCCTGGTTCCTTCCTGCAGCAGGATGGAGCTGCGGGTGTCCTGGCTGTCACACCCGTCCCGCCCTGGCACGGGCAGCAACACCCTCCAGCACTGTGGGGGCTATAGGAGGTGCAGCAAGAGCCTCCCTGGAGCACCAGGCGCCCTGCACCCTGCAGCCCCCTCTCCCACCCGCATTCGCCCCCAGCCCCACTTCCCTCCCGCTCTCCCAGGCTGCTCCAGCTGGTGCCACGGTCGGGGCCTCGTCCCTGCCACCAGCAGCTGCTTGTCCCGGCCCCACCTTGGCGCTCGGAGCCTCCATCCTTCCTGGGTGTCTTCAGGTGGCCGAGTGGCGCTGGGACATGACCCGCCGGAGCCGAGCAGCAGAGGTGCTCTGAGCCACCGGTGCCCACGGGCCTTTATAGGGGGCTGCCCCCCGCCAGCCCCAGCCTGGCGGGCCCTGCACAATAGAGCTGCCAAAAATACCCGGGTGGCGGAGGGGCCGGTCTCCGGGCGACGTGTGCGCTTTGTTCCCCGTAGCTCGGAGACGGGCCAGGCCTTTCCTCTCATTTGCAGCTCCGCATTGTGCGGGACGGCGCAGGGCAGTGCGGGACCGCGGTGCTAATGAGGCCGTAATTGCCAGCAGAGCCGCAGCCGGAAGGTCAGCGCCAGGCAGACGGCGGCTCCGCTGTCACCCACCAGCCCTGGGCGACGGCATCTCTGGCCCCATCATCATCAGGGCCCCATTAGGCTAATTGCTGCTGCTGGGCAGAGGCTGGACGTGGTGCCCGGGGCCTTGCGAGCACCTGAGTCTAGAAACGGGCGGCTCCTCCAGCACAGCGGGTGCAGCGACCGCAGGCACCTGGGCACAACGGCACCGGTACCTCCAGGAGCTCGCTCCTTGGGCGGACACAGGTGGAGACACCTGGAGCTCACAGGGGATGGGAACAGGGATGTTCCCTTTGGCCATGGCACTGTCCCCGCTCCGGGACCTGCATCCCCATGGATGACGTGGGCCGTGCTGGAGGGCTCGCTGCAGGCCCCGGTGCCATCGTCAGCAGGTGGCCGCGTCGCCGCCTCCGTCGGCCTCGGGGATGGGCTCCAGCGGGGCCCCACGCGGGCGGGGGGGCTCGGGCGACGCAGCGCCGTTCCTGCCGATGCCGCACGCCTGCCCCGCGTTGTGGATCTGCCACAGGTTGTCCAGCGCCTCCGCCTTGGCGTGCTTGAGCAGGTCGGCTTGGCCCTGCAGCCGTGCAGCGAATGCGTCAGGGCTCAGCTGGGGCTGCGCCACGATGCCGCCCACCCGCCCACGCGCGTGGCGGGACCCCGGCTGCGTCCCGCGGGGGCAGCAGGATGCAGGACACGGGAGCAGCCGGAGCCAGCAGCGCTGCTGCACCCCTGTGCCGGCGGCTGCTGCCGCATCCCGCATGCCCCGCGCGCTGCCCGGCGCTCGCACCTTCAGCACGGTGATGTTCCAGGCAAAGCTCTCCAGCGCCTTCTGCAGCTTGCGGCCCCGCAGCCCCTCCTTGGCCTCGATGCGGTGCAGCTCCTTGTGGAAGTCCATGCCTGGGGGGCAGCGCGGTGCTCAGCCCCGCGCGCGGGGTCCCCTGTACCCCAGTGCTCCAGGTGCCCCGCATGACGCAGCCCACAAGGCTCCCCGCGAGCTGCTCCCCATTGCTGTCACCCAGCCGCCCCCGCAGCGGCTGCTCCCAGCGCCGGGAACCAGCAGCGTTGGGGGGCACAGAGCCCCTTGTCCCTCCCCACGTGTCCCTCCCAGTGCCCCCCAAGCCCCCATGCACCAGAGGGGCCGCAACGCGGCAGCGCGTGGGGCAGGGCAGGCTGCCAGCAGCACCTGTGCGTGGGTGCCGTGTGCCAGCGCGCCTGCCCGCTCTGTTACTGCTGCTGCTAATTATACCCCACGTTTGGCAGCTAATGACTCCTCTCGGCTTCTGCGTCTGCCTCCCCCGCGCTCCTCCCGCTGCTGTCCCTGCATGGGGGTCCTGGGGAGAGCGGCGGGCACTGCGTGCGGGCACCCACCTGCCTGCTGTGCTTGCATGAGCTTGCCGTGCACGGCGTCTGCCGACTCGATGAGCGTGCGGCTCGTCTGGATCATCTGCGGGAGGGGAGCGGGTGCTGCCAGCCACGTCCCCGCGTGCAGCACCGCGGTGCCGGGTGGGCGCGCGCCCAGCCCCACTCCGCGCGCTGCCGCGTCCCCAGGGCTCCCGTGGTTATTACCGGGATCCAGACAGGGCTACAGGGCAGGTCCTGTCGCTACAGCCCCGGCCGGACCCTCGCCCGCGACGGCGGCACCGGCTCTTACCGTCTCATAGGCGGTCAGGACCTTGCGCAGCAGCTCGGGGATGGGGCCCTGCGCCTCCATGGGCGGGTAGCGCTCGGCCAGGTTGAGGGTGACGCTGGGCGCGCTGTCGCTGTGCAGCAGCCACGCGGCCACCGTGAGGATGCACTGCTTCATGTTGGCGGCCGGCGTCAGGCCACAGAGCTCCTTGAAGGACACCAGCGCGTTCTGCGGGGAGACGGCGGCGTCAGGTCCCAAGGGAGAGACCGGGCGCTCCGGCTCCTCTCTGCCCGCCCCATCCCGCATCCCGCATCCCGCCTCCCCCCAGCACCTGCACGTTCTCCCGCAGGTCGGTGGCCTCCCGCAGCGGCTGGGTGGCCGTCCGGAAGACTTCGTCGATGGCCTTGATGCCAGTGGCCTTGGTGGAGGTGTACTCGCGCACGCGGCGGCCGCGGCGCCCCGAGAGCCCGCGGCGCTGCCCCTTGCCGCCGCCGCGCCGGTCCGTGATGGCCACGTGCACGAAGAGGGTGGCGTGGGGCAGTGGCTCCCCGGACAGCGCCTGCAGCGGCACGTGCCGGTAGCCGGGCTGCAGGCACTCGAAGGGGATCGTGTACTGCGCGATGAACTCGTCGCCGATGTAGTCGTCGTCCAGCACCACGAAGCGCAGCACGGCCAGCTCCGGCAGGTTCACCTGGAACTCCAGGCTCTCGTCGAAGACGGGGTTGTCCCCGCTCTGCAGGGCCGTCTTGGTGCGGTGCTCGGCGCAGTCGGCCGGGATGCCGTGGATCTCGGCGCACACGTATGGCTCCACCACCTCCCCCTTGGCCCCCGAGCCCTTGGGCTTGGGCAGGTTCTGCCCGCTGATGACCTTGAGGTGCAGGAGCTGGGCGGGCACCCCGGGCAGCGAGTCCTTGGCGTTGGCACTGAAGTAGGAGACCTCCTCGCGCATGATGGCGGGCCGGAGGACGTAGCCGCAGGCGCCGTTCTGCCGGAACCAGCCCGCGTTGAGGTCCATCATGAGCCCTGGCGTCTGGTAGTTCATGGCCACCATCTGGCAGCCGCACTTCCAGAAGTCCTGCGGGTTCATGTTGCTGGCGTCGATGCGCATGGGGCTGGGGTAGACGCGCGAGAGGAAGCGCTTGTTGTAGCTCACGAGCTCCGCGGGGCACTCGCTGGCCAGCCGCCCGGCCTCCACCTCGCTGAAGGAGCACACCTGCCAGTAGCGCTGCGCGCGCCGCGAGCTCTCGAAGCCGCGGAAGGCCACGGCCTGGCACAGGCTCACGAGCTCGGAGAGCTCGCGGCTGAGGCGCAGGCGGCGCGGGCCGCCCTCGCGCTCCTCGCCGCCCGCCCGCCGCGCCGGCCCCCAGCCCTCGTCCTCGTCCGACACGTCGCCCTCGCTGTCCTCGCAGCCCGGCGGCAGCTTCTTGCCCTTGATGAGGATGCGGCCCTTGAGGCGCTCCGGCGAGGGCAGGAAGGCCTCGGCGGGGTCGGGCGGCTCCACGTAGAGCTTCTCGCCCAGCGTCTTGCGCAGGCAGCGCGCGGCCAGGCGCTGCTGCGCGGCCGAGCAGCGCACCACGAGGCACAGGATGAGCGGGTAGGCGGAGGCGGCGAACGCGTGCTGCTCCAGCAGCCCCACCACGGTGCGGAAGGGCACGCCGGAGGCGGCCGAGGGGCCCGTGTAGACCACGGGCTCGCCGTCGGCGCCGTCCCACAGCACCAGCTCGATGCTGCGGCAGCCCAGCCCCAGGGCGCTCACGTAGCCGCTGATGTCCGAGCGGCCCCAGAAGTTGTCCTCGAGCAGGCAGGCGCTGTGCGCGGAGCTGATGTAGTAGTGCGAGAGCGGCTGCGCCATGTCCTGGCACACCGTGCGGTGCTGCGGGTCGAAGATGGAGCACTCGGAGGAAAGCAGGTAGCGCGTGAAGCCGTCGATGGCCAGGTAGCCCTTCTCGCGGCCCTCCTTCGAGGGCTCGTACTTGCTCACGATCTCCCAGCACTTCTCCTCCGTGACGCCCTCCATGCCCTGCTCCACCTCCAGGAACATCAGCAGGTCCTTCAGCGCCAGGTACTCCTTGTTGCTGGAGAACTGCACCAGCAGGAAGAAGATCTCGGGCCGCGTGCAGAGCTCGCAATAGGCCTCCACAAAGAGGTCGCAGGCCACCTCCATGCCCACGCGGTCGTTGGCCTTCTGCAGCTCCTTGAACTTCAGCTCGATGGTGGACGCCTTCATGCCCGGGTTCAGGGCCTTGATGAGCTGCACAGCCCGGGACACGGGGATGAGGCCGGACTTCTCCAGGTCGGCGAGGTCGAAGACGGAGGAGATCCAGGAGGTGCGGAGGCTGGGGTGGCCAGTCCCAGGCGCCTCAGGCGTGTGCTTCCCGTAGGACACCAGGTAGCGCAGCCCCATCACCCAGGCGCTCACCACGTCGGCAGAGCTGGCCACCAGGTCCAGGGACTCGTAGTTGTCTCCGTAGATGATGGAGAAGGCGCACTCGTCCGGGAACTGATCGGAGAGGCCGTTGCTGCGCAGGATGGGGGTCTTCTTGCCCACGCGCACCTCCTTGACCGACTTGATCTCAATCTTGGCCTTCTCCGAGTCCTTCTTGGAGGGCTCCCAGCGCACGGAGCGCATGTCGGAGTCCAGCACGAAGAAGCGGCTGTACATGCGGCAGTTGGAGCGCACCTTCTTGAGCTCGCAGCCCTCCAGCATGAAGGAGATGCAGGCGGCCGTGCTGTTGATCTTGCGGTCGTTGGGCATGGTGCTGAAGGACACCGTCTTCTTCTTCTGCGCGGGCCGCTGCCGGGAGCCATCCTGCCAGGCAGGGAGAGGAGAGCAGAGCCGTGAGGGCTGCTACTGAGCGGGAATGCAAAGCCCCAGCCCCGGGCATGCAGGATAGCCCGCTCCTCATCCAGGAACATGCAGTGGAAAATGGGATGCCTGGCGCATCCCAGCCCAGCTCCCGCAGCCCCAGGAGCGGCTCCCAACGCAGCCTCCCCCATCGCTCACCGGCCCGGCTTATTTTAACTCTGCTTCCTTCCTTCCCTCCTTCCTTCCTGCTGCCGGCCTTGAGCCGGATCCTGCCCGCTCTGCAGGAATGCCGGGGCAGGGACACACTGCGGCAGCCCGACCCCATGGCGGGCCTGGCCCCATGGCATGCCGGCCCCATGGCATGTCCGTGTTCCTATGGCATGTCCATGTTCCTATGGCATGCTCGGCCCTACAGCGTGCCGGCCCCATGGTGTGCCAGCCCTATGGCACATCCATGTTCCCATGGCACGTCCATGTTCCCACGGCATGCCCAGCCCCATGGTGTGCCAGCCCCATGGCATGTCCATGTTCCGATGATGCCCAGCCCCACAGCGTGCCGGCCCCATGGTGTGCCAGCCCTATGGCACATCCATGTTCCCATGGCATGTCCATGTTCCCACGGCGTGCCCAGCGCCACGGCGCGCCCGGCCCGCGCTGCCGCCCAGGGACGGAAGGGGGCCGCGTGCCACCACTCGGAGTTGGACAGGGCTGGGATGGCGCCGGGGGGAGCGAGGGGGAACAGCAGGGCTGGCAGCATATTATGGGATGGAATTCATTAAGCAGGGCAGCAGGGAGGAGGGTTAATCCACTCCTTTAAGCTTTCTGTGAGTCACCTCTAATCCGGTGGCGGCTGCGGCACGGGTGGCTCTGCCCAGCTGCCTGGGTTGGGGGCGGCGGGGGCCCTGTCACCCTAAGCGCTTTCCCATCACTGTCACCTGCCTGCTGGGTGCCTTTTGTCCCATCGGGGCTGGATTGACCCCCAAGGGCCCAGAAACCACGACCTGAGGGTGCTGGGGACATGTGGGAGCAGGACAGGTCATGAGGGCAGGGGACACGGAGCATCCCACGAGGCCGAGCTGTGGGATGCAGCAGCAGGATGCAGGACCCCGGCGGCAGACACGTCCCCGGGGGGGATGCGGGCCGGACCGTGGGCAGCACCGCAGCACCGCGCTCCCCGCGCGCGGCACCCTGAGCTCGCCGTGCAGGACCCCCCCGCGCCAGCCCCCGCCCAGCCCGAGCACCCCACCCCGGCGCTCGGCGCCGAGCGCGCAGCACAAAACAGGAAACCCATCCGGAAAGGAAGCGCGGGGCGGGGGGGCCGCGCGGCGAGCGGCTGCCGGGACCTGCCGCCAGCTGCCCCGGGCCACCTGCACCCGGCGCGGCCGCCCCGCGCCTGCCCGCACCCCGGCAGGGCTGCCGCCACGCGCACCCCGGCCACCCCAGCTCCAGCCCTGGCCCGCCTGGGCTGCCACCATGCACAGCAGCCCTGGCAGTGACTTGTCCCCCATCACTCTTCTCTGGGGTGCTCCCCGGCGTGGCCAGGTCCCGGACGGGAGCGCCCGCACGTTGCCTCGCTCCTGCGCCCGCTGTTCCCACGCGGAGGGAGGAAGAGCGAAGCCGCCGCTCGCAGGCAGCCGCAGCCGCGCGCCCTGCAGCCGCGGGGATGCTCCGCGGGGCGCGCGGGCGCCCGGCGCTCTGCTGAGGTGCGGAGCAGGTCAGCAGTGCAGGCGGGGACGGCGTCCGGAGGAGGATCCCACGCCAGGGGCTGCCCGTGCCAGCGCTGCCCGCGCAGCAAAGCCGAGCGCAGCGCTGCAAGCGCGGGAAGCGCCGCCGGCCACCGCGGCCCTTCCTTCCCATCACATCGTGCGGCGCCGCCGCCGCAGCAGCTCGTGATGGCCGGGACAGAGGAACCGAAAGCGGCCGCGGCCAAGGCGCCCGGCAGGACACGCGGCGCTGCGTCCAGGGCAGCTGCGGTGGTACCGGCAGAACCCCACATTTCACAGAATCACAGAGTGGTTGGGGTTGGAAGGGCCCTCTAGAGATCATCTAGTCCAACCAAGGGACACCCCAAGCACAGGGCACCCAGTCACATCCACACCTCCAGAGCAGGAGCCTCCCCAGCCTCTCTGGGCAGCCCCAGTTTGATCTGGCCGGGAGGGCAGCAAGGACACGCGGGCTCCCCGTGGCAGTTGCTGCGGCTCCGGGCACCCACAGCACGGGCAGGTGGCACCAGGCTGCTCTGGCGCTGGCACCACCACATGATGCAGCAGCCAGGCCCGGAGCTCACACTGCCTCAGCCCTCGGCATCACTCCGCTCCCAGGGAGGAAGCCAGGAACGGCTCCTCCTACGGGAATATGGGGCTGCCAGGCACCCCACAGTGTCTCCCAAACCCCCCGCACGGCCAGCCTGGCCCCAGGCGGCTGATTTATGCTTTCAGATTCACTCCCACAGCCCTTGCTGGAAATCTGGAAAATAACGGAGCCTTGGGCTCTTCCCACTCCCGCTTCCAGCACGGCGGAGTTCCCTGCACGGCTCAGGGCAGCCGGGCCGGGGCCATGGGAGGACGGCAGCTGGGCCGGGCCACTCGACCTCCTTTGCGGCCGTCTCCTCTCCCCCAGCGCTGCCTGGGCCACGCGACCTCCGAGTGAGGCCAAATCCCGCAGTGACGCACGCGGGGCCGCGTGCAGCCCGGTGCGGAGTGAGCGCGGGGGGACAACCGGGTAGGCTGGGTCACAGCGGAGCCTGCAGAGCTCCGGGGGCACCCGCCTGTCCTGGGATGCCGGGTGCTCAGCCAGGCCTGGGAGCAGCACGGGAATCCCTGGGAAAGCTCCTTGCCATGGCAGCCGTGGTCACCCGCGGCGCATCTCCACGTGCACCGAGTGTGTGGGGTCCAGCGGCACCCGGGTGCAGCGCAGCCACCACGTCCTGCAGCACGGAGGTGGCAGCGAGGTGCCTGGCCCACGGAGCAGCCCACACGCTGGTATTAATAGTGGCGCAGCTCTAGCAGCTTAAAATAGGCTGCCAGGAGCAGGGGGAGCAGCTCTGGGCTATGGAGACCTATTGTGCGAGCAGTAACTCCGGCGCCGCGCGGCGTGGGGGCTCCTTTGGGAAAGCCCGCGTGCCCTGCGGCCCATCGGAGCGGGAGACCTCGGCGTTTCCCTGGCCGCACCGCAGCCCCGTGCATGGGAGCTGGCCGAGCCGAGCCCCGGTGTGCGCTCCTGCCCACAGAGGAAAGTGGGAGCGCGCGGGAGCTCCGGCTCGGGCAGCACCCACGGGTGCCCTGCGCAGGACGGGCCGACGCCACGTTGCAGTTTGCACCGTGGGAGCAGTGTGTGGGTACGGGGGCACCACAGGGCAGCTCGGGGATCCCGGGAAAGACAGGACAGGCCTAGGACACACAAAGCCAGGGCCGGGCTGTGCCCACAACGGGCAGGAGGGACCCAGATGGAGCAGCCTTCGTCCTCCGCCCAGGCCAGGACCCCCCCATGCCCGAGGTGAGGGCAGTGCCCCACGAGCCGGGCTGCTCCCGGAGAGCCGGCGGAGCCAGGACGGACGGTGCCGAGCGGAGCCGAGACCGGGCCGGGAGGAGGCCTCTTCCCGCAGGGCCTGGCCCAGGGCTCGGCGGGGCCGAACCCCCCCGCAGGTACCGGGGGCGCCGGTAACCTCTCCGCACCGGGCGGCGCGGGGGCGGCCGCAGCTGGGGGCGGGGGCCGCTTCGCAGGGGGCGGCTGCGGGGGTCGGTTGTGCCGGACAGGGGGGAGGTCCCCGAGCGGGGCGGCGCGGGGGTCGCTCTCACCTTCATGATGCTCGCGCGGGGCGCGGCGGGCGCGGGGCTCCGCTCCGCCGAGTCCTCGCGGCTGCTGCTGCCCGAGCCCGAGCCGGGGCTGC